GCCATAGTACCTATCCGATATGTAATGATATGTTCATCCACACGTGTAATATTTCACTCTTCTTACTGATTTATGCTTCTTACATGGTGCATATCTAGATTTGCATATATTTCTTTGAATCATTTCTCTCTCTCTCTTCCTCTCTCTCTCTCTCTCTCTCTCTCTCTATCTCTTTGTCTCTCTCTCTTTCTCTCTTTGTCTCTCTGATTCTCTATTTTTCCAAAACAATTATATGGTTTTTTATGTATGTGTGTGTATGTGTGTGTGTTTATATATGTGCTTGTGTGCTTTTACATCAATTGTTCGTCAGTTGTGTATATGTATGTTTATTTCTTCCTCTAATGTATGTGTGTATGTAGAAATATTGAAAAATGTGTGTGCGTGTGTTTATAAATGTGTGTGTGTGTGTTTATAAATGTGTGTGTTTGTGTTTGTAAGTGTGTGTACGTGTGTGTTTGTGTGTGTGTGGTAGAAAGCAAAAAAGCATTTGAAGAAATGGTGAATAACTCAAACACGCTGATTCGCTAATGAGAAAAAGTGGTCGCAATAGTCGTCCTGATGATGATGTTGTTGTTGATGACGATGACGATGATGATGATGATGCCAACGGATATGATAATAATGATGAGGATAATGTTAATGATGATGATGATTAAGTTCTGCATAGTGTTCGTTACTTACATCAATTATTAATTAAAAATAGTATATCTGCATATCATTGCAACTGACGTATGTGGTATTTAATCATGGAAAGTATATGTAATTTATAATTTGTCGATTTTAACACTAATTTTTTTAATTAATTCATTAATTCATTCACTTATTCATTCGTTTATTTATTCATTCATTCATTCATCTGTTCATTCATTTAACGTTAAACCATCCGTTTATAAACTGTATGTTTCCCATTCGAAATATTCATGTACCTAATCGTTCATTTTTTTTCATTCAATCAATCAATCATTCATTCATTCATTTATTCATTCATTCATTCATTAACTTTTTCGTTTGTTTATTCATTCATTCAATCAATCATTTATTCATACATGCAATCATTCATTCATTCATTCATTCACCCTCCGATCAACCTTTTTTTATTCCCGCTTTAATTATATGCCTCAGTGCTGGTTTGATGGAGAATATTTCAAAATGTCCGTCTCGTCATCATCCTACTTATTCCTCTCTCTTTCTTTCTCTCAATCTCTCTCTCTTTTCTTTTATTTTTTCATGCAGTCTTTCTCCCCTTGATCCTTCTCTCTTTCTTCTCTTACTCACTCATTTTTTTCACTTTCTCTCTTTCTCTATTTCTCTCTCTCTCTCTCTCTCTCTCTCTCTCTCTCTCTCTCTCTCTTTCTTACGGCCATTTCGCCACATAAGATTTATGGCCTGAGAGATGTTATATCGTAACTGATGCTGGCGTTATATTTATAGGAAACATTTCGTCGTCGCCTTCGTTTGTTTTTCTTGTTTTTGCACGTACACACACTCACGCACACACACACATGCGCATATTAATACATACATGCATACATACATACATACACACATACATACGTACATACATACACACATACATACAAAGATATACTAACTGAGATTATCTGTCCGTGTGACCTTTTGGGCCTCATTCATTCATAACACACGTCACGCTTGACTTCACACTGAGTTTGTGTCCGTATGTGTGATGTGTGCGTGCGCGTATGTGTGTGCATCCTTGTATGTGTGTGTATATGTTTGTATGTGTGTGTTTAATTCCATTGAACTATTATAACAATGGCTATTTTTTAGAAAAATGGACATATTCATCTTTAATTTCCTTATCAAAGTATTATTGTTATTCTAATTATAACCTTATTAAAGTTGTTGTTATTTGTTTTTGTCGTCGTCGTCGTTGTTGTTGTTGTTGTTTGATTTTGAAGTGTTGTTGTGTCATATGACGTCATTGTCGGCCTTACGATCAATGCGTGTGGTCTTACTTACCTATGTTTTTGTCACTTTCATCTCCATCTCTGACGTCATCTCTGACGTCATCGCAATTATAATTTTTGTATAATCGTCACCGTCGCTTACGCGATTTTTTCATAATTTATTTCTCTATCATCATTGTAATCTTTGTCATCGTCAGCATCGTCATCATCTTGACCATTGTCGTCGTCATACTCTTCATCGCCGCCGTCGTCATCCTAGCGACAAAAAATATTGTTGCAGATTTAGGCGCTGTAAATATTGCCTGTGTTGACATTTTGGCAGTTTTTTTTACGACTTGAACATTAAAATAAGACTTCAACCACTCGTACTATTTTAGTCTTTAGTGGTTGTTGTATATGTTGTAGTGTTGTAGTTGTGAAGTGTCGCGAGGTAAAGTGTTATAATTTCGATTGGTGTCGTTAAATTAGTAGATGAAGTTGATGTTGTTGCTGCTGCGATTGTTTGTTTTGACGCCGGTTGTGGTTAGTTTGGTTGTAGTGAGTGTGGTTGTAGTAAGTGTGGTTGTGGTAAGTGTGGCTGTAGTAAGTGTGGTTGTAGTAAGTGTGGTTGTAGTAAGTGTGGCTGTAGTAAGTGTGGTTGTAGTAAGTGTGGCTGTAGTAAGTGTGGTTGTAGTAAGTGTGGCTGTAGTAAGTGTGGTTGTAGTAAGTGTGGCTTTAGTAAGTGTAGTTGTAGCAAGTGTGGCTGTAGTAAGTCTGGTTGTAGCAGGTTCAGTTATGGCAAGTGTAGTTGTTGAAGTTGTTGTAACTGTGGTAGTTTTGGCGGTGAAAGTGGCCACACTGAACAGCTGAACAGACATTGCGAGAAAGAGAGAGAGAGAGAGAGAGAGAGAGAGAAGTTACAGATTGCCAGCAAGAACCGGAGTGCCAGTTTGTATTTCATGATGTTACATTCATTCGTTATATTGTTTCACCATTTCGCAACCCTCTTGCTTAATTTATAACTCTCAGTTAATAACAAAACATTAATATTTTAGAATAACAAAAATATTAAAATCAATTAAAATAGTACAAATAGTTGTTTTTTTTCCTAAACAAATTAGAAAAACCTTTTTGCTTCTACAAGAGAAAGATAAAGATCAAAGGAAGCCTTACTGTGCCAAACATTTTAACAATGAATGAATGAATGGATGGATGAATGGATGAATGAATGAATGAATGAATGGAGGAATTAAGGAACGAAGGAAATGAATGATATAGCGAATGAAGTCAAAAAATATATTACAATGCCTATTGTTTTTTTTACTTCCAAATTATTTTTGATTCATTTTAAAATGAATGAACGAAAGAATGAATAAATGATTGAAGAGAATAAAAGAATGAAGGAGTGAATTATTGGATACGTATATATGTATAGATAAGTTTTATTTTATGGGCTACGCCAATGCAATTAAATTTTATTCTCCTCATTCTCCCCCATTAATCAGCCCTCTCTGTTTTGATCTATAAAAGAACCAAAAAAAACTTAATGTAGAAATTTTATTATTTTTGTTATTGTTATTATTATTCTTCATATCGTTACTGTTGTCATTATTATTACTTTTGTTATTATTCCTCTTATTGCCTGCAATAAATTCGCTGATGTAGATGTAGATTGGAGATAGCACACTTCTCCCAGATGCTGGCGAAGATAACGCGAGTACCAGCCAACGAGTACACTGAAATACGCGACGAATGTGCATTAACGAAAGAAAAATGTACCTTTAAAATACAAATTTAGTTGCTTATATGTATATTCGCATGAAAATATGAGATATGAGGAGTTAATTCACATGAAAAGAAATGTACACATGTATGTATATTTATTTGTTTGTCTGTTCGTCTCTTGGTTTTTCTTAGTTTAAATTTTCATTTATTCAATTCTTCATTCATCCTTTCGTTCGTTCGTTCGTTCGGTAAAATGCCAAAAGATGAAATGGACAAAATGCGTCTAAACCAACACAAGAAGTATCCATGTTGTATTTACGTTTGGAAAAATTTTGATGGAAAATTTCATATTTATCCATTCAAAAATCTGTCTCTCTCTCTTTCCCTCTCTTTCACTTTTTCTCTTTATTTCACTTTCTCTCTCTCTCTCTCTCTCTCTCTCGATATGATTGTAAGTATTTACGTGTGTGTTATAGTCGCAGACTTTTTGGAGTTTTTATTCTATAATTATTATATTATATTACGTTCTATAAGACAAATAATAAATGAACGAATGGAAGAATGAATGAATGAATTAATGAGAAACGAAGTAACGAATGGATGAATAACTGAATAGATTTAACTTGCATAATTAAATAAAATGGTCAATAATTTATTTCATTTGGAAAGTTAACACTGGAGATTTAAGATTCAAGAAAAAGCCTTAAATTTTCATGAGTTTATAACACAGTTTGTGTGAGTATGTATGCGTTCGTGTGCGTGTGTGTGTGAATGGATGTAGATATCTGTGTGTATACAGATACACGTAGGGTCTTTGTGTATGTATGTGTCGCTATCTCATCCATTATTTTCATCTTGGTTCTACGTATTTCTTATGAAAGAAGATCATCTTTTTAAAAAGTAATATTGGCTTTGATTTGTTTACTCCAAGTTTTAAAATTCGTAAGAATTGACATTTTCTTAGGCAAATATTTATTTAAAACGAAATGGAAAAAACACACACACACAAACACACACACAAACTCACACACAAACACACTCATAAACATTGACACACATAGAAACAGACACAAGCAGACACAAACACACATACAGTGTTATGGAGATTAACAATAAAGAATCACTAGCTATAAACGAAAGACATTGGTAATATAGCATAAGCGCCCGTAACAAGCATAAATCAGGCGGTTATGTCTTGATTTGCTGACCAAACCTCACCAGTGCTTTATGAGTGTTTGTTGGCCAGTTGGCTAGATGGTCAGCAGTTGGTTGGATGGTGGTTGGTCGCTTGGTTGATTAGTTGGCTGGTTGGTTGGTTAGTTAAAAAAATGACACACACACACACACACACACACATACACGTAAACAAACACCCACACACACCCACACACCTACACACACACACACACACACACACACACACACATGAAGACTCTATACAAAAACAACCACATACATATTTTATAAAAGTTATTTATAAAAGTTAACCAGTATTTACAATAATGTTTATGAGGCTCAGATGGATTGTTATTGGGAGGCGTGCCTATAAGCGCATAAACAGCAATAGAAAGGTAGATTTTTACACCTACTTGTACACATACATGCAAACAAACAAACAAACATCCATTCATCTGTATATACACACATGCACACACACATACATACATACACACCACACACACACATACATACCTTCATGCATACATACCCGCATACATACACGCATGCATACACGCACATACAAACATACATACGTACATAAAAAGTGTGTTTATATCATTTGGCAGCCTCATAAAGCCACATGAAGTTGTAGCGACGTAAAAACGCCTGGCGCACCCTGACGACCGATAAATTGATGTATGCACTATTCCCACACACAATATACAAACATTAATGATCCTGTAAACGTGTTTATACAAATATATACAAACATGTATGTATGTATGTATGTGCTTGTTTTTATGTGTGTTTGTGTGTGTTTGTGTGTGTGTGTGTTGTATGTGTGTGTGTTTGTGTGTGTGTGTTTGTGTGTGTATGTATGTATGAATGTATCTATACAAACATAAACAACATAGTCATAAACATACATGTATACATTTACATTACGATACATAGAGATGTATTTAACGACACCCAGCCATAAACAAAACTCCCTGTCCACGTTCGCATAAATAAATGCATACAACTGCATACAAAGACGCAACTGCATACTAGCGCAAACAAACAAAAAATACAGATACAAAGTAATACAAACATGTTTTCTTAAATTGCAAGTTTCCACATAAATACTAAGAAATACAATCAATCAGAATGCCGTACAATATAATAAAAATTTGTTAAAGATACAACAAAAAACTCAATCTAGAGCACTTTATAACATAACAAACACACACACACACAACACACACATTATTAACAAAAAAAACTGTTCGAATTAATGCTATATCTATTTCTGCTGCCTACTTGCATGTTTAAATTATTTTTAACATGAATGAGGCATACAAACTAACATATAAACATATATACAGGCATACATACATACATACATACATACATACATACATACATACATACATCCATACATACATACATACATACATACATACATACATACATACATACATACATACATACATACATACATACATACATCAACGTTTTATCGCTAGCCGCGTGACGTCATAAAGATGGTGGCGTCGCGATTGCTGAGCCGACCTCCCGGAGAGCCAATCGCATAATGGGTTTTGTTGATGTTCATGGGGTCACTTTGTTGTTGGGAGGGGTTTTGGGGGCAAATAATGAGGCCAAAATTGTAACAAGGCCAAAAAATTTGTGAATTGTTTTTTTTTCAATATATTCAATTCATTGAAACTTTATAGATTATTACTGTTATGATAGATTTAGGATAGGCATACATACAAACACATACAAACAATTTAGGATATGCATACATACAAACACATACAAACGACATACATACATACATGCAAACACATACAAACTCAAATACACACACACGCATGCACACACACGAGATAAATCTGCATTTGCAAGCATATTGAGCCCTAAACAGAAGGGGCATTAATGTAGATCGCCAGCCAGCCAGCCAGCCGGTCGGTCGGCCAGCAACATTAGTAATGGGTTGTTAAAAGTAATTGCATACCACGGGTTAGCGCTCTCAACAAATATTTGCATGCATCTTTTGCCACAAATTTCCTCCGTCTCCTTTTCTCTCTCTCTATTCTCTTTCACTTTTTCTTCCACTTTATCTCTCAATTTTATGCTTTTTCATTTTTGGTTTTTGAATGTTTTTTTGCAATTTATTTGTTTCATGTTTTCTATAAATCTATAACTTATTTTCCCTCTCCATTCTTCATTCTTTATCTTTCTCTCTCTATCTCTTTTTGAATTATTTATTTTCTTCTTCCTATTTTTATATCAATTTTTCTGCGATCTTTCGCGTCAAATGTTGTTTCAAACGCGAGTTTATTTCCAATTCATTTCGATCAGTCAAAGACACGTGCACGTGTTCATTCATATACAGTCTGAAGAAAAAAGAAGAAGTTAATCCAGTATGAAAAATCGAAATGCCTATTCGTAGCGAGAAATCAATAGCTATCTATGCAGGACGGATGGATACATTTGAAAATAAAATTTATCAAGATTCAGTGGAGGCATTAATATTAAAGAGAGATCTATGCCGTCTGGATTAAGAATTATTAATGTATATTTGGCGTACTATATAAATAACACGGTACTTAAATGCAATTGTTTGTTTGTCCATTTGTCTTTTATCTATCTATCCATCCATCTATCCATCCATCCATCTATCCATTTATCTATCTATCTATATATCTATCTATCCATCCATTCATCCATCCATCCTTACACGCGCGCACACACGCACAACGCCACAAAGACATTAAAATGAAAAGTCTTCCTGTGATAACATAAAATAATATTCGTCTCAAATTAGAGGGATAAATCAAAAACCACCATATACGGAGAGAGAAAGAGAAAGAGAGAGAGAGAGAGAGAGAAAGAGAAAGAGAGTAAAAGGAGTGAGAAAAAAAGACAAAAGGAGAAAGGTAAAAAGAGAGAGAGAGAGCGGGAGAGAGCTACTTATGCTTAAACATGCGTGAAAATGTGTCTT